GTTACTGTGACTGGCCAGATATGTTACTGTGGCTGGCCAGCTGTGTTACTGAGGCTGGCCAGATATGTTACTGTGGCTGGCCAGCTGTGTTACTGTGGCTGGCCAGCTGTGTTACTGAGGCTGGCCAGCTGTGTTACTGTGACTGGCCAGCTGTGTTACTGAGGCTGGCCAGATATGTTACTGTGACTGACCAGCTGTGTTACCGTGGCTGGCCAGATATGTTACTGTGACTGGCCAGCTGTGTTACTGTGGCTGGCCAGCTGTGTTACTGTGACTGGCCAGCTGTGTTACTGTGACTGGCCAGCTGTGTTACTGTGACTGGCCAGATATGTTACTGTGGCTGACCAGCTGTGATCCTGAGGCTGGCCAGCTGTGTCACTGAGGCTGGCCAGCTGTGTTACTGTGACTGGCCAACTGTGTTACTGTGACTGGCCAGCTGTGTTACTGAGGCTGGCCAGCTGTGTTACTGTGACTGGCCAGCTGTGTTACTGTGACTGGCCAGCTGTGTTACTGTGACTGGCCAGCTGTGTTACTGTGACTGGCCAGATATGTTACTGTGGCTGACCAGCTGTGATCCTGAGGCTGGCCAGCTGTGTTACTGAGGCTGGCCAGCTGTGTTACTGTGACTGGCCAGCTGTGTTACTGTGACTGGCCAGCTGTGTTACTGTGGCTGGCCAGCTGTGTTACTGAGGCTGGCCAGCTGTGTTACTGAGGCTGGCCAGCTGTGTTACTGACGCTGGCCAGCTGTGTTACTGAGGCTGGCCAGCTGTGTTACTGTGACTGGCCAGCTGTGTTACTGTGGCTGGCCAGCTGTGTTACTGTGGCTGGCCAGCTGTGTTACTGAGGCTGGCCAGCTGTGTTACTGAGGCTGGCCAGCTGTGTTACTGTGACTGGCCAGCTGTGTTACTGAGGCTGGCCAGCTGTGTTACTGTGACTGGCAAGCTGTGTTACTGTGGCTGGCCAGCTGTGTTACTGTGACTGGCCAGATATGTTACTGTAGCTGGCCAGCTGTGTTACTGAGGCTGGCCAGCTGTGTTACTGTGACTGACCAGCTGTGTTACTGAGGCTGGCCAGCTGTGTTACTGTGGCTGGCCAGCTGTGTTACTGTGGCATGCCAGCTGTGTTACTGTGACTGGCCAGCTGTGTTACTGAGGCTGGCCAGCTGTGTTACTGAGGCTGGCCAGCTGTGTTACTGTGACTGGCCAGCTGTGTTACTGAGGCTGGCCAGCTGTGTTACTGTGACTGGCAAGCTGTGTTACTGTGGCTGGCCAGCTGTGTTACTGTGACTGGCCAGATATGTTACTGTAGCTGGCCAGCTGTGTTACTGAGGCTGGCCAGCTGTGTTACTGTGACTGACCAGCTGTGTTACTGAGGCTGGCCAGCTGTGTTACTGTGGCTGGCCAGCTGTGTTACTGTGGCATGCCAGCTGTGTTACTGTGACTGGCCAGCTGTGTTACAGTGACTGGCCAGATATGTTACTGTGACTGGCCAGATGTGTTACTGAGGCAGGTTAAGGAGTGTACCCAAGTGGAATGCTAAAAATAGGGTCTGGAAACACAGGTTCGAGACCTTGAAAGCTAGAAGAAAGAGCATGAACACTTGATGTTTAAAACTTCCGAGGCCAGAAGTTGACCTGAAACTTAAGGGCCAGAACTCTTAGCCTGAGTGCAATTTCTGGAAACTCAGCACTAGAAAATTGAAGGCTCAAACGAAAATGGAAAATGGAGGAATCTTTGATATAGTTGGGAAACTTTTATAATGCCACATATTTATATTATTTCTGTCCCTCTCTCTCTCTCCTTCCCTTTCTCCTTCTCTACTTTCCTACCTACATCTCTCCCTCTCTACCTCCCTCCTGCTGGCCGCGTGCCGTCAAGACCTCTGTAGGGATCTGAGGGCATCACTGAGCTTCGAAATTTCTGAGACTGATATTCGTTGCCATGGTGAGTCAGGGAGGAGTGAGGGTGAGGGAGGAGTGAGGGTGAGGGATGGTGAGGGTGATGGAGAGTGAGGGAGTGAGAGTGAGAGTGATGGAGAGTGAGATCAGTGTTGCCTGCAGGGCGGTCAGGAACAGACACACACACACACATACGTTGGTCAACTGTCCAGTTTTAATATGCGGGTTTAATTCGTATTTAATGTACACAATATGCCTCGGATCGTCCTATGAAAATTGTGGTAATAAAAATTTACAGAAAATCAACTTTGAATAACGACGTCGTTCCTTCGACCGCGGCAGAGAGAAGCTGTGTCGAATGTCTTCTCAGGAAAATACTTTTTCCCAACTTGCTCTCATATGCAAATGTGTTATTTTTTCTGTTATTTCGCTTTCTTTATCATTTATACGGATACAATAAGAGTTTGGGGCCGAGGATGGAGTCGTGCATTAAACACTCAGAACCTGGGGAGAGTGAGAGAGAGAGAGAGAGAGAGAGAGAGAGAGAGAAGTGAGAGTAAGAGAGGAGGGAGAGTGGGAGAGATAGGAGGGAAGAGAGGGAGGCGGGGTTATGAGACTTAATTAATAACTAGTCTATGGAGTAATTACTCATAATTCACAAGGTCAAATAAGCACTGATTAACACCTTGGACACCCAACTTTCCTGAAGCACTCGACTTGTCCCCAAGTCTGGCAAAGTTACTGCCAAGTCTAGCAAAGTTTGACAAAGTTCGGGTGAGTAAGGGCAATTACCCAAAGTGAAAATTGCTGCGAAGCATTCCTAGAAATTAATGAATCTTTAATTAAAAAGTAGACTAAACGTTCACGTAAATCTGTTTTGAACGTAGAGGAAGAAGTAGGTGTTGGAGGGAAGGGAAAGTGAGGGAGGGTGAGACATCTTAAGTCTAAGATGTTTTCAAAAGTCTTCCCAAGACTTGAGAACAAAAATAATGTATAGTTCTCTGGTGATCTTGCATTTTTGTAGTTACAACCTTGACCTTCGTTCAGATAGGTGGCCAAGCAGGCCAGCCAGGCTGTTATTGATCAGCAGAGCTGTTACTGATGCTGAGGCGTCCTCAGTCTGGTCCTGGCCACTTGCTAAGATCTGTGAGTTTCTCGACGGTTTCTTGTGTAATGTTACAGACAGACAAATGGGAGATGGTGAAGTACACCACTGAGTGACAGTTGCCTGGCTTAGTAACTTATATCTCGCATGTCAGGCCTGAAGTGAGGTGTTCAGTCTTCACCACAACACTGGTGGGTACTGCATCCAGGTGTGTTAAGAGGTCATATACACAACACTGGTGGCTACAGTCACCAGGTGTGTTAAGAGGTGAGATACACAACACTGGTGGCTACAGTCACCAGGTGTATTAAGAGGTGATACACAACACTGGTGGCTACAGGCACCAGGTGTGTTAAGAGGTGATACACAACACTGGTGGCTACAGTCACCAGGTGTGTTAAGTGGTCATATACACAACACTGGTGGGTACAGTCACCAGGTGTGTTAAGTGGTCATATACACAACACTGGTGGCTACAGTCACCAGGTGTGTTAAGTGGTCATATACACAACACTGGTGGCTACAGGCACCAGGTGTGTTAAGAGGTGATACACAACACTGGTGGCTACTGAGTCATGAGATGCTATCCCCTGTTGCTCATATATATTGCTGGACCAAACTTGAGTGCCCATCGACCGATCTGATGACTAATTAAGGTCCTCTTCACGGGTCCATCAATGCCCCCATTGTTTGCACTTGCCATAAGCCTATTCCAGGCAGACAAGCCCTCCTCATCAGCTGCAGGTCTTCACCGATACCAATACTGGTCTGAATTAATATACAGTGGAAGACGTTTTGGGGGATATACGTTTTCTGATTACACAAGGAACCAGCATAGTCGAAATAATAATAAGCAGGCGATGATCACAATAACGTGGCTGAAGTATGTTGACCAGACCACACACAATAAGTTGAAGGAACGACGACGTTTCGGTCCGTCCTGGACCATTCACAATCGACTTGAGAATGGTCCAGGACGGACCGAAACGTCGTCGTCCCTTCAACTTATAGTATGTGTTCTGGTCAATAATAAGTAACGAAGCTTTCTGCCAAGTTGACCAGACCACACACTAGAAGGTGGACGACGACGTTTCGGTCCGTCCTGGACCATTCTCAAGTCGATTCTGCCAAATCTGTCATCACCGGATTAAGTGATGATTCCGACAGATGGGAAGCCAAATTTACCTAATTCGTCCGAAGGTAAGAATCAGTATCTGCCGCCTGGAGTGGGTTGGTGCCTGCCACAGGGAAGTGTTGAGAGCTGGTGTGACCTAACACATGAAGATACCCGCGCACACATCACACATTACGGTTGAGAGGCGGGACCAAAGACCCAGAGCTCAACTCCCCGCTAGCACAACTAAGTGAGTACATCACCACACACGCTCACTCAGGCTCATAATACACGGTCATATAACAATTATTGACGGGTCGTCGTTTGAGGACGAAATAAGGAGCATTGCAAGTGACTATTGAGATATACTTTTCCACTGGCTAAAGGTCACTTCTATATGTGTAAGGTAGCGTCTGGTGATGCTCTCGGACGCAGGTTCGAATCCTCGTCACGGCCCTTGTGGATTTGTTCATTTAAATTTGTATATCTTCTCTGATAGTGGGCTGTCTTACCAAGGTGTCATTGTTTACAATGTGTATGGCTTGTGGCATCATTACCGCTACTTCGATATTATAACAGACTGCCGTTCCCTATCAGGTTCATATTGGAAAGTTGTGTGAGACTCGCCCTACGTGTCTGGCCTCCAACACACAAACATTTAATTATAAATAGATGAACATAATTTTGTTTGTGATATACACTGGTATGACCATACACTTGTATGGCCATACACTGGTATACACACGCAGCTTCCTGACCATAAAGCAGCACTTCTCAGCCCTCGGGGGCCATTCACGTGAGTATATTATAACACAAAATGGCCGCCCATATTCCCTTACCTGAAGCTGCTCATCACAACTCAATTGACTCTTCTAATATGCCAATTACGGCCGCCCTTTGTGCACTCTAAACCTGATTTTCTGGCACGGTGAATATTGCTGCAAGTTGAGGGAGGTGGCATGGCACTGGGGGAGGTGGCGTGGCACTGGGGGAGGTGGCATGGCACTGGGGGAGGTGGCATGGCACTGGGGGAGGTGGCGTGGCACTGGGGGAGGTGGCATGGCACTGGGGAAGGTGGCATGACACTGGAGGAGGTGGCATGGCACTGGGGGAGGTGGCATGGCACTGGGGGAGGTGGCGTGGCACTGGGGGAGGTGGCATGGCACTGGGGGAGGTGGCATGGCACTGGGGGAGGTGCCATGGCACTGGGGGAGGTAGCATGACACTGGGGGAGGTGGCATGCCACTGTGGAAGGTGGCACTGAACCACGATACGGTCACAAAATAATGCAACCTGATATTCAACTCAATCCCCCTCACAGCTCTCCTCTCAATCCTCACAACTCCTCCCTCATAGCTTCCCCTCACAACTCCTCCCTCATAGCTCCCCCTCACAACTCCTCCCCCCCCCTCCTTCCTCTCCCCCTAACCTATCACGTCTCTCAGGTCAACAAGACATAGAGTTATAGAGTTATAACTCTCACAATGGCGTTCCTCTCTCTCTCTCTCGCTTTCTCCACCTCTCACTCCCTCTCATTGTTGACCCCGGTAATGTCCCTTACCCCCCCCCCTCGGGTCGTCTTCCTGGTGGAGGTTGTCTGGCAAAGTTTCTTACATTAGCTCTCCCTTCTTGCTGTAGAGTACTGAGAGTACTTTTCGTGAGAATTATTTCCACGCAGACCAGTCAGTAGCATCGTGCACTGCCCCTTCCTCGACGCATGGGCCAGAGGCACCGTCGACGCTTGGGCCAGACGTACCGTCGACGCATGGACCAGACGTACCGTCGACGCATGGACCAGACGTACCGTCGACGCATGGACCAGACGTACCGTCGACGCATGGACCAGACGTACCGTCGACGCATGGACCAGACGTACCGTCGACGCTTGGGCCAGACGTACCGTCGACGCATGGCACAGACTACCATACACTGCCTCATCATCGACTAGCTATCTAGCCAGCTACCTAGCCAGCTACCTAGCCAGCTATATAGCCAGCTACCTACCCGACTACCTAGCCAGCTATATAGCCAGCTACCTAGCCAGCTACCTAGCCAGCTATATAGCCAGCTACCTACCCGACTACCTAGCCAGTCAGCCAGCAAGATACGAAGATACAGTCCAACAAGAACATGAAAAGAATCACCGAGAAACTTTATACAAGAAATTTGCCCGAGACACAAATTTGCACAGAGACACAACCGAGCTCCAGCTCAACTTCTATTTTTACCTCTACTATAAATATGGAAATAGCATGATTTGAATGAAGAAGAGAGAGAGAGAGAGAGAGAGAGAGAGAGAGAGAGAGAGAGAGAGAGAGAGAGAGAGAGAGAGAGAGAGAGAGAGAGAGAGAGAGAGAGAGAGAGAGAGAGAGAGAGAGAGAGAGAGAGAGAGAGAGAGAGAGAGAGAGAGAGAGAAGAGAGAGAGAGAGAGAGAGAGAGAGAAAGAGAGAGAGAGAGAGAGAGAGAGAGAGAGAGAGAGAGAGAGGAGAGAGAGAGAGAGAGAGAGAGAGAGAGAGAGAGAGAGAGAGAGAGAATGTGTGTTAATAATACACAATTAAAATCATTAAAATCAAAGTCACCTGGTAGCCAAATTGGGCAGTTAAATGCCCCTCATAACTGGCCTCTGTTGTGAGGGATTGTCAGACTTAATGTAGAGCAGCAGACTTAATGCAGAGAAGTGAGGGATTAGTCTCCATATGTGTAGACGTCTTTAAGTAGGGAGAAAAAGTCTTTATATTTGAGATAAGTATTTATGAAGAGAAAAAGTCTTTATTAGGGGGTAGAAATCGTTAAGTAATAAACAGTCTTTACGTGAGGTAAAGTCTTAATGCTGTACAGCAGTCTTTATGCAGGAGACAGGTTGTTATGTAGGAAGTAGGCTTAATATACGTTATATCCGGGGAATATTAATGTTGGGATCAGTCAGTCTTTATGTAGGGGGTTCAGTCTTTAAGTAGAAATCAGCCTTTATAACCTGGAATAGTCAAAATAAACCGTAGTAGTCTTTAAGCAGATAATTCTTTTGGTTTGGAAGTCTTATTCATTGTGGTGATTACACATTATATATGGGGGAGTGATCTCACTGTATGGGTATATATGGGAGTATAGTCTTAATATATGGGGGAGTGATCTCACTGTATGGGTATATATGGGAGTATAGTCTTAATATATGGGGGAGTGATCTCACTGTATGGGTATATATGGGAGTATAGTCTTAATATATGGGGGAGTGATCTCACTGTATGGGTATATATGGGAGTATAGTCTTAATATATGGGGCAGTGATCTCACTGTATGGGTATATATGGGAGTATAGTCTTAATATATGGGGGAGTGGTCTCACTGTATGGGTATATATGGGAGTATAGTCTTAATATATGGGGGAGTGATCTCACTGTATGGGTATATATGGGAGTATAGTCTTAATATATGGGGAGTGGTCTCAATGTATGGGTATATATGGGAGTATAGTCTTAATATATGGGGGAGTGATCTCACTGTATGGGTATATATGGGAGTATAGTCTTAATATATGGGGGAGTGATCTCACTGTATGGGTATATATGGGAGTATAGTCTTAATATATGGGGGAGTGGTCTCACTGTATGGGTATATATGGGAGTATAGTCTTAATATATGGGGGAGAGTTTATATATAGCACAGTCTTATTATAGATCAGTTTTATATATGGGACAGTCTTAATGGGGGGGGGAGGGTGTTTACATGTGGCGTAGTCTGAAGAGGGAGAGTTTTGGAAGGGAAGAAGTATTTCTGTGAGCTAAAAAGTTTTTATGGAGGTGAAAGTTGTCTTTAAGAAAGAGGGAAGCGTCTCTGTGGGTGAGAAGTCTAAGTAAGAGGGAGCCTGTATGTGTAGGAAAGTCTTTGTTATGGGGAAATCTTTCTGTAACGGGAACAAGAGGGTTAGTCATGAGTTTATCTGGAAGAGGTGAGCAGTTTTCATGGAAGGGGGAACTGACTGTTTTAATGAGTTTATCTGGAAGAGGTGAGCAGTTTTCATGGAAGGGGGAACTGACTGTTTTAATCAATGCATTATACACCCCACTCCATGGTCATGAGTTTAGGGGGGGGAGGGGAAAGGAGGGACTAATGGGGGGACGTGAGGGGGGGGGGGTTAGAGAGAAGGGTGGGATGTGGTTGGGGAGGGGGGAAGGGATGAGTGGGTGCAGAGAGGTTATCTTGATCTTAAGGTTATCTTGAGATGATTTCGGGGCTTTAGTGTCCCCGCGGCCCGGTCCTCGACCAGGCCTCCACCCCCAGGAAGCAGCCCGTGACAGCTGACTAACACCCAGGTACCTATTTTACTGCTAGGTAACAGGGGCATAGGGTGAAAGAAACTCTGCCCATTGTTTCTCGCCGGCGCCTGGGATCGAACCCAGGACCACAGGATCACAAGTCCAGCGTGCTGTCCGCTCGACCGACCGGCTCCCTTGAGGACGATTTCGTGTACAACCACAAGGTGAGACCACAACACAAGCCTTCAAGAGCTCCATGGTGGCGGCGCTGCTCTCAAGAACACCTGATGTGGGATGAAACCTTAAGACTGATGTTTTCATTATGAACATCAGAACTATATTGAATGAACCCTAGAAGCGTAAGGAGAGAGAGAGGAGAAGATAGAGAGAGAGAAGAGAGAGGAAGAAGAGAGAAGAGAGAGAGAGGAGAGAGAG